GTTAGCGGTGTGCAACAAAAAGGAACAAAGAGCAGTGATCCAAATCTGTAGAGAACATCCTACTTCATTGATAATAACTCACCGGTTTGCCATTACCATCTCCTGAGCTTTCTGAATCTTCTCATCAGTGGTGAAGGTTAACGGGCATCCTGATCCTTCTTTGTGTGTCATGCTTGTCAACCCACTTTAAACTTCTCGATCCACTCATACAGGTTTTTACATGGCAGTACACTGTTGCCATACTGTATTAAAAACTCCCTGATGAATTTCAGCCCCTGACATGTCTTCCAACCAGAGAAATTGGATCCCTGTTCTTTGTTTCTTCTTGGTGCACACTGTTAGCGAATTGGTCATGTTTACACTGTAATTGTAGCAATAAAGCTGGCACGATCAAGCTCAAATTTCAATCATGTGAGCACAATAGTACCAACTATTGTAGTTTGTAGTCACACCTAGCACAGGTTAAGTTCTATATCTCCTTCTGTCTGAATTGCAAATGGCAGCTTCAACCAGGCATTGTGGTCTCTTGGCCACAGGTAAGTTAGAATTCCTTTGTTCTATTTTCACCTCACTCCCTCAAGATCACAAAAAGTGCAGCCGGGTACAGGTTGCTTCTGATGTATACTCTTTTTAGGGGCATAGCTCCAGCTTGGTTGTCTAGGAGTTTGTGAGACACTCTTGTATCAAACCCCTGACAGCTAGTGACAACGAGGCTACTTGATAAAGTTGTTTCATCTGCAGGTGATATGGACACAGATGTATCTTCATAAGATTCTGGTGAGGTTGTTCTTGCCGGGATCAAACTTGCACTTTCCTCAGAGCTGCTTTAATTTCCTAATGAGTATGACTCTTTTATATAACCTGGAACCCCACTATCTCACTGTGTAAAGCCTCTGACACTTGTCCTCCTGCCCACTTCCACTTTGCAGTCCAACAATTCTGAGCTTGGTCAAACTCTGCACAGAAATCTGCCTCATTAAGTTGGATTGCCACACACACCTTCCTTCTGGCAAATCTTACTATTAAAGCTGATGTGATGGTGATGCCACCCGTTGCCCTTATAGTGTTGCTCCCAAGTATAGTTACCATAAATAAAATAAAAAAAGAGAGAAAAATTACTTTTTTAAAGCAAAAGAATATTAAGCTAGCAGTTTCAGTTCACTCCAGCAGTGCATACCACAAACATAGATTCTGGATTTTATAGATTATTATTTCAAACCTATGGCTAAGTTCCAAAAATCAAACACTGGTGGAAAAATATTTGTGGATGAGGAAAATTAGAGTTCCTACTATCATAAGAAAAACGCTGATGAAACAAAAACATACTAGTAATGTGTAGAGCAATCTTGTAACACTGTTAATCTGTCATACTATTTTAAACAAAAATAAACTTTAAATTTTTTTTATTTTGTACCTTTTTTTAAAAATTATGATTACTACCTATGCTTTTAACAAAATTTATGGTCATCGCCTTTAAAAGCTTCAAAAAATTATCAGAGATATGAAATTATCCAGGGACACATTTATCTAGGGACGCAAATGTCCAGGGACACAATTGTCTGGTATGCAACTGTCCAGTACACAACTGTCCTAGAACTGTCTATAACTAAGGCTTCAATGTTCACCAGCTCAGTACCATCTATTCCCAACTTTAACTGGCCTTGCCTGCAAAATTTCAGGGTTTTTCTGTCAGCCATCAACATGTTCACCTCCCTAGGCCTCCACGAATGGCATATAAGCCTGCTAAACAGTCTCTGCATACGACCAATGTCCACCAAGTCTGTGCACTTTCTTCCATTCAAATTCATGTCAGTTGTTGGCAGTGTCTTATTCTTCATTTCCTTGGGGAGCAAGTTGATGCTGACAACTTCTGAGGTGCTTCCCTGGCACTATGATGCAACATGCTCTGCCGTACTACAGTGAAATCTTTGCATTTTTCAGCACAATTGGCATGGTTGATGCATAGTTTCTTCTGCATGTTCCTGAAAATAATCCCTGGCCAAGTGATTGTAACCAAAGTATTTATTGCAGATAATTTCATACTTTCATGTTTTAGTTGTCGTGTGTGTGTTTGCTGAGTGGCAGCAGCAATCTCTTCGGGTTCTATGGTCATAATGGTCTGTGCCTGGGTTGCTAATTGTTCTAATGGCATGACATGGCATCCATTCTTGATGACACCTGGAAAAGCCACCTGATATGCTGTGGCAGTCCTAACATGAATGCACATGGTATATGCTGATCTCCAACATGCAGATCAAGTCATTGCAAATCTGCTAGATCCCCATTCACGACAAATTGGTTGTATGCATCAAATGAGTCTGGAGTATAGGCACCTATGAGAGCCCCTTTGATATGCTGCAAGCTTGCTTTCTCCTCTCGGTCTAGTTGCTGGTATACAACGATAGTGCCATCTCGCAGATGCAGTATCAATAATCGCTCAACGTCCATTCTCTTGTAAATATAGCATATCATCTTGATGTGTTGAATCCATTGTATAACGAGTTCATCCGTAGTGGTACTACCAAACTCTGGAATTATTCAGTAGTCAAATATTTTGTTCATGAAGAAATTCAATCTGCCAAAATAGTTTGTAGTTGATAGTTGCACCATTCTGCTTAAGCACAGATCAAGTTCTGTAGATCCTTTTCTCTGCTCATCTGTGTTGCTCAACTTTTATTCAAGCTTTTGAACATGCATACAAATTAGTAATAGTTTTAAAAGCACTAGAACCAGACATGTACTTTAACTAAATTACAAATGGCAGCTTTGACTGGGCAGGTGAGACATCGTGGCCTCTTAATCATAGATAAGTTTGAATTCCTTGGTTATATTTCACCACAATTATAAAGATATGTTATAGTGAAAGTACAGATAATTTTTGGCTTACCATTGTATAATATTATGAAAAATAATTCCATTGACAATTTCTGTTTCCCAGATTTTTTTTGTCATCCAGTCAGGTTCCATAGGTGTCAGATTAAAGAAGTATATTTTATACTGTGTATAGTTGCAAGAGTAACAAACAAAAAACAACAATGTTTTGCTGGTAAGGTAGAAAGAAAAAGAGACAAGATATGTTAAAATTATCTGTATTACCAATGTACACATTGGATCAAGATAGAAGGACTCTTGTAGGTGATGCTTTGGAGTCTGATCTCTAAGATGGAGAGTTGTGTACTGGTTTTGTGTTGATGCTTGCATCAGGTTGGTTGAACAAAAGGCCACTACCTTGAGCAGATCCTTTGAAGGAGTCGGGGTGAATACATGACTCAGCATTTTTTGTCATGTTCTTGCTTTATCGGCAACATTTGTGATGGTCTCTGATGTTAAATTTTATTTAAAATTTGTTTTGTAAGCTGGATGTAATGATTGCAGCTTTTGTACAGAGATCAACTTTTTTATTTTTAATTTTGCTTTTGTAATATTCAAAACTGGCCAACAGGTTTTGATGTGGAGTGAGTCAGAAAGCAGTCTAATTTGAAGCAGAGTATAATGAGTATAAATGTATTTTAAAAATAGCCTAATCCCTTGTTCATTAATACTGTTTATTACCACAAATTGCTTATCTGCTATTATGTTGATATGGGTGTGATTTCACTGGCAATTGGATTTTTGAGCTGAAGATGGTAGTGTGCATGCTTAACCTGTCTGGATTTGACTTCAGAGTTTTCCTTCTCTTTGTCTGGTTGCCAGCCAAGAATAGAGAGCCAAGTTTGCTCTGCTATTTTATTTTTAGCTGAGGGATTAGAGAGAAGAAATGGATTTTGAAAACTCTAGTCATTATTCTTAAATAACTTTGTCAGTCTGTGGCTCTCATGCATGGTGCCAAACTTGTTCAGAAATATCCAAAGTATCAGCTGTATATAAACTGCTTTCTTAGATCAATGGTTGAAGACGGTGTTGAGTGAGTATGTCTTGGCAAAGACCATACTTCTTTTGAACCTTGTGGACAAGTGCTACAGAATCACAAAGAACTAACAAAGAAAATATGACACAATCAAAATTTTGACATTCCACGCTACAAATAAAATGTTAGGAAGGTAACCTCCCCCCCTCCCCCATCAATACTGGAAAGAGCAATAAAAGTTTTGTGATGTCAACGAACACTCGTTGCCACTTTTGGGATGTCAACGAATACTTGTTGTCACTTTCATAATGCTTGTTGTAGTAGAGACTTTGTAATCGCAGATACAACTATAGTATGCCATTGAAAAATACTGGTGTCAGACGCCTTTGAATAGCACTCGCACTAACAGTACTTGCTTGATAATACTTGCTCGAATAGTGATCTGAATAGAGAAATAGTATAGTGAATAAAGTAGTGGTCCATATAGTAATAGAGGATAGAGTAGAAATAGTGGTGCATATAGTAATAGAGGATAGAGTAGAAATAGCGATCCAAATAGTAATAGAAGATAGAGTAGAAATGGTGATCATTTAGACATCATGCTACCTCCCATATATGCATTTCCTCTATGGTCACGTAGTTGACTTATTTTAATAATGGAATCACCTGTGTTTGCTCACTGGCGATCTATGTTCAAACTCAAGTGTTGACAGCAACACTTTATTCCTATATAATGAAAAGCTACCGAAGTAACCTATTTTTCTGAAAAATTGTTTTAAGAGGAAGATTTTATAAATTTCAACCAAAAGCGGTATTGGCTGCTCAGTCCATGAATGCCAAATATTTTCTGAATATTGCCCTTTACTATATGACCTTCCTAAGAGCATTAGTTTAACATGAATGTAAATTTTCTCCATGATGCCATTTTTCTTTTTGCTAAAGTTAACCATATAATATATACCTATATATATATATATATATATATATATATATATATATATATATATATATATATATATATATATAGGTATGACCTATTTAATGATGGTAAGGGTTAGATGGTGCTTGTTTCTTTGAAGAGGAACAATTACTGAAATACTTCTAAAATAATTTTTTCAATGTTGATTTTATCTTTTCTTTTCTTCATCCCCAGTTTGTGTTTGCATCCAGACAACACATTGGTTGCCACAGGCCAAGTTGGAAGAGCACCTTACATTTGTGTGTGGGATTCTAGCAGCATGAAAACCATTTCTTACCTTAAAGACCAACACCAACATGGCATTGGTGCCATGTGCTTTGACAAAGAAGGCAGTGTAAGTTCCTGGAAATAGTTTTAAAAGAAAATTTTTATACTGAATGTTTTAATGATTTCTAACTGTAGGATTTTGTTAAAAGCTTAGCTTTGTTCTGTTAGAAGATTTTAGAGGTGTGCAAAAGTTTCCAGCATTTTTTTTTTACATAAAAAGAAAAGAACAGTTCATTCTTTTGTTTTCTTTTTTTGTATTTTTTATTTTTTCTTGTTAATGAGGCTGATAAGATAAATAACAAATAGCAAGTGTTTATCAATCTAACATGTTTCACTTTTATTTAAGCTTCATCAGAGAATGAGATATGGACAAAAAGAAGAAAGGATTTCTGGTATTTTTACTTTTCTGTTTAATTTTCATTGGTTAATCATGTTTCATGTGCATTCGACTTTTTAAACAAACGTTAATATAATTTATCACATTCAGAATTCAAGGAGAAATGACACATCCATTTGAAGTTAAAAGAAATCAATATTCCAAGCCTAATTGAAAAAAACATAAATATTGCCTTCTGGATGTAAGTGTATAATTCTAGTTTGTCTATGTGGGATTTAGATGATAATGTATATTTGTAAGTGTGTGTGTGTGTGTGTGTGTGTGTATGTATGCCTAGTATACATTTAGTGTTTTTTTTTTTCATTGATCTAGGAATGTTTTTACGTACATACTGTTTTAGATAAGCATATGTTAGATTCTTTAAGAATGGGTTCAATAAAGGTTTGTGGTGTAATATGTTTTTGACATGAGCTTATAGTTGATAATATAGTTATTAGTAATCCCTTAAAGTACTTTCAACATAAAGAATTATGTTCTTTTTTAATTAGGGTGGCATTTGTTTAATCAATGTTATGGCCAGTTTTGTTCCTGTATATTATGTGTATTCCTGTATTATCTACATTTTATGTTTGTAGATATGGGCTTTTAGATTTCATGATGTCTCTCTAATATAAATGCTTTTACATTTTAAGCTATTTTTTGATAAGTACCAGCATCTGAATTGGTGTTGGATTTATTTTTCTTCCTAATTATATCTCCAATTGTCTTGGATATGGTGGTAAAGATCCTAGTATTATGGATAACTAATTTATTTACACATTTTGTAGGAAGAGTGTTAGTGTAAATGGAACTCTTGGAAGTTTTTTTTTTTTTAATACATATTTTTCATATTTTCAGTGTGAAGCCATAGTGGCATTAGGAAGTCTGAAATATTTCTGTTTAACTTGATAAAATATATGAAATAAATATTATCATTAATGGATGACAATAGAGTAAAACCTCAATTTAAAGAACTATTCTGGGAGGTTGTGATCATTAAATTGAATAAATACCTCATTTCATAAAGAAGAAGTAAGTTATGTAGACCCCCATGGTCAACATGCAAATGACTAGTGTTATATAAAACTGTATAATAATTAAAACAAATGTACATATTTTCCTTTGCACATATTAGGAAGATTTTTGGAAGTGGTGCTGTAAATGCAATCTGGACTATAATTTATTTTGTGCTCAAAACCGAGGCTTAGAGCATTTCTAAAGCTTCATATATAAATACTCCTAGCTGTTTAAACCAGTACTATACTAAAAGGGTTGTCAAAACTGGCTTTTAAAAGCCAGATTTTTTTTTTTTATACTTAGTTGCTTTTTTTTTTTTTTTTTTTTTTTTTTATTAAAAAAATATAATGGAATCAGAGTTTTCCAATGAAATTTACAAGTCCTCAAGTTTTGATTTGTATCTTGTAGAGTAGCAAAACATGAAACAAAATTTGGTTTGGGTTTATTTATAGTGAAAATTGTTTTGAAATACAATATGTGGGTGTTATATACCATACCTATGAACACTAATGAGTATGTCCCAATCCTCATTTCTTTTGTCATTTAGTGAACTTCATTCAGTAAAAATAAAAACTCAGAACATTATATGTGATCCATGAGTGATTTCGTAAGTCTAATATTCCTTAAATTGAGTTTTTATTGTACAACAAAATTATATCTAAAGGTTAATTTAGTTTGGCAAGGTTACAAATATAAGGCATCTAGTGAGGATAAAACTTACTCTCTTGTTAACCATTTACACTATAATGAGACATTCTAAAATACTAAGTACCTCACAGATATGAAACACTTAGTGAGGCTCAAACTCATTACTCATTAGTAATAATCTGTAAGTTTGGCTTGTTAACCATTACACCTGACAACAAATTATTGTTCTGAACATGGTTTTAACTTAGACATATGCCTATCATGGATGGCAGTGCCTTTGACTTAAATTGACTGGTTTTGAGCATTTTTTAAAAAAATTATTTCATCTCAAGCAAGGCAATAAAGCCACTAAGATGTAAGGGGTTACTGAGAGTGAAGAAACTTGAGAAAACGTTACTGAGAAGAAAATAAAATAAAAAGAATAGGATCTAAGGAAACAAGATAACAATTGACATTTTCATTTTTGAAGATCGTAGTTGGCAGGAAAGCAACAAGCTAGTAGAGAGTTTTCCAGGTGAGATGTGTGAGAGAAGAAAATGTTAGAATAGAAGAGATTTTTTTTTTCATAATGTATTAATACATTTATATTCCAACACCCTTAATTAGCATAAAGTTCAGGTAGTCTTAGAGTTGGTAATGGTTAATAAGGTCACTCTCTACTACCCACCTTGTAATCAGGGAGGGACCAAGAAAAGGTAGTTTATTAGGTATTAGATATATTTAGAGATTTCAGTTATATTATTCTAATATATAAAATCATGGTTGACTTGATGTAAGTATTTTTTAATACTATTGTTCATTTAATACAAGGCCCAAGAGCCACTAAAAGTAGAGGGTTATTGAATGAGATCATTGTAAGGCTGTAAATATTATGAGGATATATATGATAAATAATAGTTGACCATTCATTTGAAGAGGTTTTTAGATTGTAGTGATCAAGGAAGTATTATCTTGTCTGTTTCACAAATTGGCAATTCTGGAGGAGAAGCTGTCTGTTTAGAACTTCCTTCTTACCAAAGGGCTTGATTCCGGATCCTTTCATATGAACAAATGTCCCCATTGGGTCCTATGCTGTTTTTTCTACTTCAATGATCTCCCTAATGTCATCAACTCTCAACTAGGTATTTATGCAGATGACACTACCATTCTGTTTGAGGTTGGAAATGGTTTGTTCCACATATTGACAGCTGTCTGATTAGAACTTCCTTCTTGCCAAAGGGCTTGCTTTCAGATCCTTTCATATGAACAAGGGTCCCCATTTGCTGTTTCTTCTACCTCAATGATCTCCCTGATGTCATCAACTCCCAACTAGGTATTTATGCAGATGACACTACCATTTACTCCTGTTTCAATAGCAAACCTGTAAAATCTGATAAATTAAAGTTGGCAGCTTCTCTTAATAAGGACCTCCAATCAGTGGTTAACTGGGACAGGAAATGGCTTGTAAATTCTAATGCCTCCAAAAAAAAAGCTGCTTTTATTTAACCACCATAGAGAACCTTTTCTGCCTGCCATCAGCATGGCTGATAGACTCCAGGAGAGCAACTCACTGCATCTTCTTGGCCTCATGTTTTCCACCGACTTGTAGTGGAGTGACTACATCGAATCTATAGCTGCATCTACTGCAAGGAAAGTTGGGTCACTGTGTTGTGCCAGAAAACTTTTCTTGTCAGAATGCATCTTGCACATTGACAACTCTACCATTTGTCAATGCATTGAATACTGTTGCCATATTTGGGCTAATGATGCTGCTATACATCTTGAGATTCTTGACAAAATCCAAAGAAGGAACTGTAATGTAATTGATCCTGACCAGGCATCTTGACTTCAGTCACTTTCTCGCCAATGTAACGTGACTTCTTTCTGTCTCTTCTACAAATATTTTCATGGCAACTGCTCTGATGCCCAAAATACATGAACTTAAGCATACTACTAGATTGGCATCTAGGTCCCAATGTTTTATTGTTGAGATAACTAAATGCAACCATCACTTCTACTTGAACAGTTTCTTTTTTCACACTTCCATTTCATTGCTTCCCTGATAACTACAATCTTCAAAAGTTTAAATACAATGTCGATTGCCATTTTCTGTTCATCTTTTGTCCTTTTCCCCAATTTTTGCTATTCTCAGTCTTCTCTTTCACTTTCACTCCTTGCAACCAACTGCATACAAGTGGTATTCCCACCTTGCTTGGGATGAAATGATTAAAAAAAGAAAGAAAAGCAATACAAAGAGAGTGAAAATGAGTTGATGTTGTATACATGGCATGGCCATTGTTACTTGTGAAAGTCTGAACTTGTGTGTGTGTGTCTGTGTAGTATATATATATATATATATATATATATATATATATATATATATATATATATATATGGTAGAAAGTGCTTAATACCTCTGATAGAGCTAACATATTCTGATGATCACAAGAAATCCGGGTTACAAACTAATATCCATACAAGTGTGTGTGTGTGTATATATATATATATATATATATATATATATATATATATATATATATATATATATATATATATATATAACAATTATTCTTACCTACAAATACAAGAGAAAAACTTCATAGACAAATTCAAACCAGCACTAAACAAATCATAAATACATACTAGTTGGACCACACACACAAGTATATATGAAGAACAAATATATATACACATACTGCCAAAAACAAACACACTAGAGGAACCACACATGCACACCATACAAAGTATATATATATATATATATATATATATATATATATATATATATATATATATAGGAGGCACAGTGGGGTAATGGATAGCGGCTTCCAGTCGAATCCATTACATTCACTTACATGCTAATACCCTTGGGAAAGGTGTGAATCCTCTTCTCCCTTCAACTATGGGTAAATAGCAGGACAGACTGGGTTCTATAGCCTTGGATGGCAACTAGTCTAGAAGGACAACTCTGAATTCAAAACTTGCGAAGGGTCGTTTGGAGACCTTGTAGCACGTAGTGCACCAGGTCTCTGTATTCGGCCCTTCAAAAAGTGTGGATGGTCCTGCACGAAACCTTCACCACTATAATCTATGTGCTGTTGTTGGGCTGTCGGTTTCCTAGAAACTGATCTGCTTGACCCTCATAAGGTGAATTCGATGGGAGAGTCGAGTATGTATAATATATATATTTCCTTGTAATAAAACAATATGTATGTATGGAGAAGGAATATGTATACACATACTAGCAAAAGCACACACACACAATACACAAAAATGGAGATAGACTTAAAAAGATACAGAGGTCATAAAAAGATAAGAACAAAGACGTCCTTCCTTTGCCCTTTTTCTGATCAATCGTAATTGTCTTATTACCCCACTTAAGCAGAGGAACATTCACTAGTCCAAGAAGAACTTGGATTACTACCACACACAAAAGACAGTGGTTAAACATAAAGGAAAATTAATTCCTTTAAATAATATGTGGAAATAACCATTCTTCACCTGATGATGGTCACAAGACCTGAAACGTCTTTGTAGCAAAAAATATGGAAAATGAAGTATAATATATATTTAAAAAAAAAATGATCCATATTATAACCAAAAATGTCTGTGGCTTCTCTTGAGAATATATACTTTTCTCTCATTGGAACAACTATAATCTCTCCCTTATATATAAGAGAGGGACGGACACACACACACACACACACACACACACAGTACAATGGATACATTGTCATCCAAATTGCACATGGCCCTGAGTATGACGTTAAACTGCATCCAACAGCAAGGCCTCTGATCAGGAGGTTTTGAGGAGCGTGGAACCACCACTTAATTGCGGGTGTTCCCAGGTCCACCCTGACCCAGGGTGGTAGCACCTGTTAGGGTCCCAGCTATAGGCAAATAGTGAACTTCCAGTTTTTTTCCAGACCTTACCCACGTCCTGCGTATGACGATAATCTACATCCACGTCCTGCGTATGATGATAAACTACATCCGCGTCCTGGGTATGGCGATAAACTCCGTCCAACAGCAAGGCCTCTGATAATGTTTTTGAAAAAATAATGTTGCCAGCTATACATTTCTGAAAAAATAATGTTGCCAGCTATACGTTTTTGAAAAAATAATGTTGCCAGCTATACGTTTTTGAAAAAATAATGTTGCCAGCTATACATTTTTGAAAAAATAATGTTGCCAGCTATATGTTTAATATATATATATATATATATATATAACTAAATTTGGCATTAAATGACCTACAGTGGTTGATATGCTATAAAACCCAACCAACCAAACAAATTGCACAAAAATGAAAATAGCACTAACATCTCATTTTAACACATATATTTACCAACTTACACAGACATCTTGAAATATTAAATCCTTTAGATGATTTTGGAATCTCCTGCAACTTTTCTGGATGGTATCCTTGTTTAAATTGATGAATGCTGCCATAAACCTTGCCTTCAGTTCATATTTGGTGTTACAAGGAGTTTTGGTGGTCTTGCTCAACTGCTCCCACATAATAATCAAAGGGATTGTAGTCTGGGGAGTTAGGTGACCAGATGTAAGGGGTGATGCGATTGCAGAAATTGTCTGAGAGACATGACTGATTTCTCCTGCTTGTGTGAAACATATTACAAAAACCTTTTCCCTATTTTTCATACTATTTTTTTAGTAATATATATATATATATATATATATATATATAAAGGAATATAGTTTTAAGGTGTGCTATATTTATGGGATAAAGTGCTAAATATCAGAGATAGTGAGTATGTAAATATAATATAAAAGTGAACATTGAAGTCAACACTCAGAGGCGACAGCCTGCTTAATGCAAGTTCAATCATCAAGCCGCGGATGTTGGATTTTCCCTTGACTATTTATATATATGAGTCAGTGGTGTATTGTGGGTAATTCATTCTGGCAGTTATTATTGCAGGAGTGGCTTGCTTGTTTATTTATTTGTTTGGGTTAATTTATTTTACTTGCTTTTCATTTTCATTTTGTATTATTTATTTTCTTTTTTTATTAATAAAAACTTTCCTATTATCTTGCAGCGTCTTGTATCTGTTGGGATAGATCCACATTCTACCATCAATGTTTGGGATTGGAAGAAAGGTAAAGTTCTGGCTTCTGCTAGAGGACACAATGACAGAGTAAGTAAACCATACCTTCTAGTATTATATATGTATATATATGTATTTTAGGATATTAAAGCAAAAACATATTACAATTATGTTTCAACGCTACAAGCGTGTGTCTTTGCTTGATGTTAAACTACTGGCGAGTGAATGATATATATATATGTGTGTGTGTGTGTTTCCCTCCATTTTTTTTTTTTTTTTTTTTTTTTGAATCAGCTTTTGTTAATCTTGGAGTAAACTTTATCTTTCATTGCACTTGGTGAACTAGTGAAAGAGAGAAGAGTGACTGTGTTTTAAGAGTATCCACCCTCTTTTTTTTTTTTTTCCTGTCTGCATCTGACGTATGGTGGAAGGTGGTGATTTGTAATCATATAGCCAAGCTCGACCAAGCTTTCCAATGGCTGGCTAATGATATTCCCATATTGTGTTCCATTCTTTTTCATGTTGGCAGGCGCTGAAAACTGGGAAAGATCCTTTGCATTCTCACAGGTTAATTGAGATAAAAAGCAAATGCCATGTGGTGAAATCAGAATGTAAACCCTGTTTCTCATATGCAGTTGTTTTATTCATGGCTTTACCTGGATGGGTAGTAAGTGACACTTTGGATAACTTCTATGTTCATTTTATAGATTAGCTCTTCCCTCTGCTAGCCCCTAACCCATCTATACATCCTGTCAAGTCTGGCAAGACAAATGGGTGGCATTAGAACCACATGACAGATAAATCTGTCCAACACCAAGTACAGATCAGAAATGATTTCCCAAACATGACCATTAATATAGTCCAGTACTCGGAAATAATCAATATCCTGTTTATTGTCGCTTGGTCTCCAAAAGTCTCCTGCTTCTTTACTTTTCTATTCTCCTTTGGTTAAAGTGGATGCTGCTTAGAAGACCAGACTTAAAAAAAAAAAAAAAAACTGTTAGATTGAGATAAAATTTTACCTTCCCACCTTCATGTGGGTGTCACAACTGTACTGTCACAGACTGGGATAATGATACAGGCTGCCCACACATTTTCATTGCATTTGTGATCCAAACTCTGCAGAAATTGATACTATTTTGTTAAAAAGCAAAATGTGCTCCAGCATGTACATTTTGCAAGTTCTGTCATAAGTGATAATAAAACATGAATTTTTTCCAACCAAAACACTCTTGACCGCCCTGTCACCTGGGACTTCAGAATATGCCAACTGCACTTTTGCAGAGGGTTAAGAACAGCCCCCCCACCACCAGTGATGCCACCTGTTTGCTGTGGGCAGCAACCCATAATTTCCGGTTACGGGATCTTGGTGGTTGAGGGCTTCAGGAATCAGGGTTAGTTACTTCTGATTCTGAACACACCACTTTGACCCTTACTTGGACTGGATGGGTGGTCAGTTGGCTGGTTATGACAAGCCTTAGCACCTATAACTATATTAATTTATGGAGTACTTTATAACTAAATACAATACCTGAAATATGCAATGGGATAAAATACCAACTCTATCCAATTTATAGACATTAAGAGGTGATGACTGCAGCTTAATCAGTTCGAAGAGATCTAGACTTAGACATGGCTGTGAACATGTCGGTTTGTACACTTAAATGGGAAGTGCAACAAATGGTTTAAAGGGTTCTCAGAGTTTCTCCTTGGATACATGTATACTGGTTTATGTAGCCTTGACCTGTCAAAATAATGCCCAACTAACCCAGCTTACAGCAGTACCTTTGAACCAAATTACTGTGATCTATTCTGACAAAATAATGATGCTATACAACCCTAGAGAATCAGGATGAAATCCACTGCTGAAGAGTTAGGCAACACAATCTTAAATATATAAGAAATAACTACAGTCAGTATTCCACCATGGATTATCAAGTTCTGCTAGAATTACATCATCTCCCCAAACAAAAAATGCACCCACTCAAATTCCAAGGTAATTTCAGGACATACTGGCAAACTTCCCTAACCATACACCCATCTATACAGATGGGTCAAGATGAGAGGACAAGATAGGATGTGCAGCAGTGAACCAAAATATTACCAAAAAAAGACGCCTCCTAAAGGGAGGCTCTATTTTCACTGCAGAGGCTTATGCAATTGAGCTAGATCTCAAAATTATCTCCGAGAGCAAACAAAAGAATTTTCTAATTTTTTCAAACTCACTATCCATCCTTTTAACTTTGAAGGAAAAAAAAATCCAACAACTCACTTATGAAAATATGTGAAATGAGCACTATTAACAAGCATAAAGTTATCAAACTATTCTGGATTCCTAGCCACATCAGAGTTAAAGGTAATAATGAAGCAGACCTAGCAGCCAAGTTGATTTTAGACGTGAATGTGGATACAAGTAACAAAATCCCATACACCAACTTTAATGAGGTTATTAATAAATACATTCAGAAGGAATGTCAATGGTACTGGGACAATAACCGACACACTCTTCACGATCCAGACCAAACTAGGAGAATGAAAGTCAGCTTCCAGAAAATCTTGCAAGGAAGAAGTAGTACTGGTCTGTGAAACGTATTGGCCACATGAGAAAAACCCACTCATACTTACTAAACAAAAAAAGTCAACCAGTATGCCAAGCATGTGAAACAGTATATACTATTAAACATATATTAACTGAGTGCTCAGATCTTGCTCTCTCAAGTAAAAAATATAGTATAAACAACATGTATGAACTGTTTGAGAAATTAAAAGTGGATGATATAATATCATTTCTCAAAAGAGGAGGACTCTACCAAATATTAAAAAACAAATGAGAATATCAAAATCAATTTCTCTACAAACCATGTATCAGAAAATAATACATCAATGAAACCAGACTCTAGACAACAATCCTCTTTACAACAATATATCAATGAAACCAGATCTACAAACTGTTTCCTTATAAAGAATACATATTCTATTCATATGAATATATTGTAAAAATCTTGTTGGCTTTAAATAACCCATTGAGGTTGATATGCTGTAAAACAAACCAAACATTAGCACTTTTTATTTTTCTGATGCTGTTTTATTTATTTCATTTCTTCACCAGGTTTTCGATATCCAGTTCAATTTATTTCAAGAAAATGAGATTGTGAGTTGTGGTGTGAAGCACATCAAATTCTGGACCCTCTGTGGAAATTCTTTGCAATCCAAGAAAGGAGTTTTTGGTAAAGTAGGTGAAATCCAGACACAGTTGTGTCTGGCATTTGGTCCAAACCAGACTACATACTCTGGCACTCTCTCAGGGGATATCTATGTGTGGTGTGGAAATAATTTACAGAGCGTCATTTCAGATGCCCATGAGGTGAGTTAGCAGTTGGTTTTTTTCTTCATTGGCAAATAGTTTGTAGTTCTTTAAAAAAAAAAAAAATGTCAACATATTTTGTGTAACCAAAAAGATGAAAAATAATGATCGAAATAGTTATAAATTTGATAATACAAGGAATGCCTAAAGAGAAAGGTACAATGAAATGTTTGGAAAAATATTGGCTAATTGTCAATTGATTCAGACTTTATAAAATATCAGATAATATGGATTTATCATTGGTTCACATATTTTAATAATTTAGTAAATATTTCATAAATTTATGAATAAAAAAAATTGTTTCCATATTTATTTATAAATTTGTAAATGATAAATATTGCATTGCATTAACTGTATTGTTTTTCAAAATGTCACTATAAAATTATTCTTGTAAATAAAAATGCTAATAAATAGTATTTAATATTTTTTGTTGTAAATAAAAATGCTAATAAATAGTATTTAATATTTTTTGTTGTAAATTCTCAATAACAAAAATGTATAAATACACTTTCATAAGAATCCTTGCTTTTTAAAACAATAAAAATTGCTAAGGAGTGACAATAGTTGAAATAAAAGCAGTGTTATGTTTCTTTTTTGTTTTTTTGTTGTTTTTTTTTTACATGAATGTCTGTTTACCTACACCAGAATAAACTAAGTGATTGGTATAGTGTCAATGAATGGCATGAATGGTACTAATCCTGCCAAAGAAGAAAACAATAAAAAAAATTATAATGACAGAAACTTCTCTAAACAAAAACATATAGTACTCAATGCCGCTAGATATATGTGATAAAGTAATTAGGAGTAATCTCCCTTGTTTTATGATTACCTCCCTTTGGTGAACGCTTTCATTTGTAGAGGACTATAAATAGTCGCTATACTGGTATCAATTATTCTAAGCAGAATAAAGATTCCTTAAGCCAATTCTTTCACTCTTTTGTTATTAGAATATAATCTAAGACAATGCTGTAAGAACAACAACAACCACCACCACCACCCACCACCACCATCAAAAAGCGCTTGGGGAATCTGATCCAAATTGTGACTCATTTCATGCTAAGGCAATCATTAGTATAATATATATATATATAATATAATATATATATATATATATATATATATATATATTTCCAAATGAGGTGTTGTTCATAAGGAATAAAATTGTTAATAACTTTAATCCTGACATACATTTGGAAATTGATAAGATATAATAAGCTAATCTTGTCAGTGGCATTCAATCAAACTGTTCATTGAATTCTTGCTACCTAAATACACATTATATATATATATACACACACACACACACACACATATATATATATTAAGAAACAGACAACTTTAAGGGTTCGTGGTGATTATAATTTATTTACTTGAAATTGAAATTCGATTCTAATTTCTCAGATCAACATTTTCACACAAATAAATGGATGACAAATATATTAAGATATATAATATATATGATATAAGAAGAATTCAGTATTATTATTTTTAATGTATGCACACGTGTTTGAGGTGGCAGGTGGGGTTAGGGGCGAAGATTGGTTGAAGGAAATATATATCTCTTGAAAGGGAAGAAGTGATGGAGGGGGTGGAAGATAAGACATGGAAACAAAATTAGGAAAAGAAAAAAAGAGATAAAGAAGAAAAGAGATGTATTTACATCCATCTTAATAAAGAGACATATAATAAAAATGGGGAGGTGTGGGGTTTGTTTGACATGCTGACCTCTTTATCAAGTATATCCAGAATGGAAGGGGAATGTAGAAATAAGAGTTAAGAAAAGAGACTGAAAAGAGAAAAAAAAAAATCTCTCTCTCTCTCTCTCTCTCTCTCTATATATATATATATATATATATATATATATATATATATATATAAATAAATAAAAAATAAAAAAGAAAGAACAGTAAGATATATAATCCGGTGTTCTTATAGATATTTTTATTTTACAAAATAGTGCTCAATGTAAATTTACAGAGCATTAATATTATAAATTAATTGATTTAAAATATGGTTTTTCCATATTTTAAATCATATATATATATATATATATATATATATATATATATATAATGCGCACACTAGTAGTATTATTCATAATATAATCCTGAATTTTGCTGTTGAGATTGATGCACTAGTCCTTTTGGTGTTTCAATGTATAAATACCCTCTTTGAAGTAATGTGTCCAAAAAATACTACTTTTTAAAAAGTGTACTGTCAATGAAAAATATTTTGGAAAGCTCTTCATTAACATGTGTTGACAGTTGACATTAGGTTATTTAGTACCCTAGGTCAAACATACAATTGCTGTACAATCTACTCACAGATGAAGAAGAGACTTAAAGCAACAGAAATGTGGTTCTACAGCGTGATGCTGAGAATACCATGAGCCGAACATGTGAGAAAGGATGATGTTTTAGAGAAAATTGAAACAAAAAGGATGCTTATACTTAACATCAGAAAGAAATAGTTGAAATTTCTAGGGTACATAATGACAAAAGAGAGCTTGGAAAATTTGATACTCACAGGGAAGAAGGCAAAAGGGATAGAGGAAATCAATGCATGACCTACTAAGTGATCTTGAGTAAATGAATGGCAGAACAACGTTTAGGAGAGATAACAAAAAGACCAAATTTATTAAAACCTATAAAAGACAGGAAATTGTGGAGAGCCATGATTGCCAGTATCCTGAAGAAACATGGCACATATTAGAAGAAAACACAAGATGATACTTGTTTATTAGCCACTGCTCTTTTTATTGCAAAGTTTTTTTGTTTTTAATAAAATTAAGAAATTTTTTTTTTTTTTCAAAATATGTCTGATGCCTCCCGGCAACGATTATCTCAGGTGGTTGTATGTAGTACAAAACCAATGTGTTAAAGATAAACATTAAAAAAAACCCCAAAAAACAACGTAATGTGAAATCTTTTGTTTGGTTACCTCCAGAGAATTGCTCTTTGAAACATTGCTGACTCCAGACTAGTTCGATGTTACCTCACCAGAAAAATGTGACACATAATCTTTTTTTTTTATTATGGTGTACACGACTGAAGGTCATATGGCAGATATCCACAGTAAATTGCATAATTTCCTTGGCTGTTGCTGCCATCAAGCATTTTTTGTTACTCTCTTTCATGGGTAGTGTTTTCTATGGAATGAGGGTTGTTTGCTTCAGTATACACAGCATGGTGGGTCTTAGCTGAGAGGGTTAGAGTTGGGGGAAACTAAGGAATGTAGCTTATGTGAACATTTTTCCATGGAAATAAGGATTGTTAGCAAGAGGCTTGCAATATTTCATTTGAGGAGAAACTGATTGTAAGGGTGGAAAACAGTTCATCACTCACAAGGCTGCTCAGATGCTTTTATCAAGACTGGAAAGTGAGGATGGGCAGCTTCATCCCAGCTATGGAAGCAGTACTCCATTTTCAGCCTGATATGGCTCTAGTAAAGATAGGTACCTCCACGAAATCGCTAAAAAAAGAGCATAGCTTGATGAAAAAGACGCCAACCTTGCTGAAAACTAAATTTTATTGTTTAAATGCTTATGTTATTATTAAGAGGAAAGACCAAAGATTTTTTTTAATTATTTTAAAAAAAATTTCCTTTTTAAACGTAAAGGTGAAAGCTAAGTACAAAAAAAAAAAAATTAGACTGCTGAAAGTTTTCGTTAAAAATAACGGGGTAAATAATTTGTTCACGTAAATGTAAATTATTTCACTTTTCTCCTTCCGTAGAACAAATTAGCCTCATCGAATTCGTAAATATATCATTCATCACATGTCAAGAGACGCGAAAGTTTATGACCTGCTTTGTTTTATTTTCAAATTACATCTTTTTGGCACAAAAAAGCTAAGTTTGGTTCAAAATATTTTAAATAAACATTATAATTTCTGATTTTCTTAAAATAAGTTTTGAAAAATGATAATTGATATTTAAAAAAATTTCAAAGTCAGATTTCCAGTTTTTTTTAAAATGGAAAAAAATGGTCAATTTTGCTGACTCAAAAAAACTAGATTTTTAACGAAAATTTCGGAGGTGCTAGGAACGATTAAAAATGGAAAAAATACCCCAAAAATACTTTGACCTTTCCTCTTAATAATAACAAACATTTAGACGATAAAATTTTGTTTTCGTCAAGTTTGGCGTCTTTTTCATCATGCTATGCTCTTTTTTTAGCAATCTTGTGGAGGTACCTAAGTAAAGATAAATCTTAGCAGGAGGAGTTTAGTACTTTCTGGAGCAGTACTGGAGCCTAACCATGTTTCCAGCATCTTTAGTGATGGATTGTATATATAAATTCCATTTGAGGTCTGAGATGAGCTTTAGTCTTAATAAGTGTTCATGTCAAGGGGCTTAAAGCAATGTTTTCTAACCATTGGTCCAGGAACAATTTTGACACAAGCAACAGTAATTACTTGTATGTTATAAGTTAATTTTTTTCTCTCCAGGGTCCAGTCTACACTTTGTACATGAGTGAAGAGGGTTATGCCTCTGGGGGTAAAGATGGAATAATCAAACTCTGGGATGGAAGTTTTAAAACCATTACCACAATTAACATGACAACAATACAAAATGGATACAAAGGTGAGTATAAAACTTTTAGTTCCATTTTGGGTTTTTTCCAAATTTTATGGCTATTATTAAAGTTTATATCTAAGGGCCTGTTTCATTTGCAAGTGTTTGCATGTAGACTTAGGGCATGAATGTGTCCCTCTTGTATTCAACAGTAAATAATCCAATAATATATATAAACAACCTATTCTAATAATTGTAACTTTGTTTTGTGAGACTGTAACAGACATAGTAAACCAGAACCAGAGTTGAATGGCAGAAATGGTGACCAAGACTTGCCTTATTCTTGACGAAAGAGCGACCATCTTTGTCTGGCATATAGGACTTCAATTTGAGAGAAAGCGAGTGCATTGTTCCGTCAAGAGACTTTTTGTTGTCCCACAAGAAATTGGGTCATTAGCAACTTTACATAATATTAGTGTAGTTGGATGGAATCAAGGAGGGACATCCGGGTGTGTTAGTGCTCCATTCTGAGGTACCCATATGTCTAGTACGTTTATCATCCAGGCAAGTGATTGGTGACTCACGATTATAAGTTGACCATCATAGAGATGAGTGGGGTCTTCCATTGAGGTACATCAAACAATATGTGCAGTTGTGGTAGAACGAACAAAGGAACGAATGAATGATGAAGCAGATACAGGTAAGAGAACAATGACAAATGCAGATACAGGTAAGAGAACAATGACAAATGCTAAGAAACTGGTGTAGAGGAAAGAAACACCCAATCTGAAATTTCATCCCAAAAAAGAGTCGCTAATTTCTTTTTACCACAGAGATTAAATTTTGCTCTATTTATTGATGGGTTCGTCTTTCTCCTAATATGGAATTTCTATTTTACAGAACTCCAAAAATGATGACAAACAATTACTATATATCAACTTATTACAAGATTTTAAGGACACTTCAAGATGGTGCAATGGTTAGCAAGCTTGTCTTGCTATATCACTTATGACTGAGTAGTGAGTTCAATCCTTACTAGGTGCACCTGCACTTTCAGCCTTATGCCAAATCTAAACTACACTTAGAAAATCATTAGGGCACCTCAACATGGTGTCATGGTTAGCAAGCTTGTTTCACTAGATCAATTAGTGGTGAGTTTGATCTTCACTGGGTGCCTAATACATTCAGCCTTGTGCCACATCTAAGCTACACTTAGAAAACCAGCATTACAAGGATGTAAAGTTGATTAAAATACTCATTAAACAGCCGTTAACATTAAACCAAACATAGGGTAATTAAAATTCTTCAATTTTTCAAATTGGCATCTTTTAAAATATTTAGTAATAGAAATATTAGTTTCAAAGATGAAAAGGGTACAGGATGTTCTTCTGCAGTTGCAGATGAATGATTAAGGATGTAAGTTGAACAAAATCCTTATTGACTTTCCACACAAAAAATAGAGTATCACAAATTGACAAAAAAGATGTAAATTAAATTAAAGAATACTTACAATTGGCTACATCTCTGAGATTAGGTGTTATGATTACTTGCATTACATTATTTGGACTGTTATCCTCATCTTTGTTGCCATATTCACAATATTTTGGCCGTTGTATGCTCTGCCCTTATTCAGGTGATTGGAGTTTCAAATTGAACCCTTTAAATCATCCATGGGGATAGATTGTTCTAGTTCCACATGTCATGCCTCTTCCAGATGTATCAGTTATTTCTCTTTAACTCAACTCTCCAAGTTTTGGTTCACCACTATTGTGACCTGGTATTGAACTCACAACTCTTTGGGTCAAGTCACTGGATCTAAATAATGTCTTTAACCACTGGGCCATGTTTTGAAGTTCCAAGAATTCATACACAGATGTCCTCAAGGACACATGGTCCAGACGTTGGTTAGATCCAATGACTAGACCCATTGTGTGTTCAATACACAGCAATGGTGAACCGAAACTTGGAGAGTTGAGTTAAAGGGAAATAACTGAGACATCTGGAAGAGGCATGGCCCATGGAATTAGAACAATCTACCCCGGTGAACGAAATAAAGGGTTTGGTTCAAAATTCCAATCACCTGAAAAAGGCCAGAGTGTACAATGGCCAAAATGTTGTGAATATGGCAATGAAGATGAGAATAACAGACTGAATAATGTAAATAATGCAAGTACTTATAATTGGATTTTCAGATTATGAAACCTGTAATTGTTTATTGTCAAGCATTCAGTGCATTGTCACTCTCAAAGGTCTTATGTATTATGATAAGTCTCAAAGGTTGAGAGAGCATAGAATAATCTTCTGCAATTAAAGAACTTCATTGTACAATGCATCACTGGTGTCAATGGGTTGATCACCCCCCCCTTTTTTGGTTATTTTATGTTGAAATCTGTTTTCTTATTATAATTGAGTTTTTAGGTAAACATTGGTTGGTTTTATATTTGAATCTGCAAGTAGCTTCCTGAAATGTGGCTTCTTTTGAAGTGTCTCTTACTACTCAGCTGAGATGTAGTTGGTGAATTCTGATCTCCACCAACAAGGCAGTCACTAGTGTTAAGAGTTTGAGAATGAGGCTGTTAGTCACAAAGATAATAAGGGTAAAAGATGTCCTTTTCCAATTGCAAATGATAAAGTGAAGAAGTTTGTTGGGGAAAATGCTTATCAAACTGCCTAGGAAACAGAACAGCAAAGTAAACTAACTTGGAAAATTAGTTTCTGTTATATCTTGTGCAAGATATAATAAACAAAGTAAACCCGAGTGTGGTTTTCAATAATAATTTTATAATCGGATGTAGGTATGTCAAAATACAGAGACAGAGTCAGGAGTAAGCTAACTGCAATGGTGTTAGTAAACGAAGAACTTTTTTCTCTACTGTCCACTGTGGTCGTACTTAATCGGCAACCAGTCCGTCCATTATTGTGAATGGGGAAGTTGGGTTATCTCATCACAACAGTTTCATATATAATTTCCAATTGGCCATTATTTTTCAAGCATATAGGATACTAGCTTAAAAGCCATCCTATTGGGCAGCATTTAAGCTATTTCTTGCATAGGGCTCTTGATTGGGCCTTCTGCTTGTTCAGAAGTTTGAGACTCCCTAAGTCTTTGCATATTCTCAGCATTGGAAGCTTTCCTGGCTATCTTTTGATCTGGGTTTTCATTTGCATAAGAGTTTCTTTTTCTCACTGAAGCCTTGACTCTTTTGATTGCAATCTGGTCCTCTGTTGGCAAAAATTTCTTTTTGCAACATATATTGCTGCCATATGCGATAGGCAATAATAAACTACAGAAGAACTCAAAATTGATTGCTTCATTTAAGTATTGCATTAATATTTAAGCATACCTTTTAAAAGTTCAACGATAATTTTTCTGCTACCACTTAATTTAAAGTCAGTTTGATATACATATGTCTTTCCTTTCCGTACAATTATTTTTATTTCATGGGTGACTTTTGCTGGATTTTCAATTAACTTTGTTTATTCCCAAATTTATTTCCAAGTTATGAAAATTACCGTACAAAAAAATTTGTTGCAAAAAATCAACACAAACAATTATAATAATGAAAACTTAGGAATCCAATATTTCAGGATTGTGAGTCTGGATCTGGAACTGATTCCAATATGGTATATGTTGAGCTACGAACTTTAGGAGTAAATTTGAAAAAGTGTGACATTGACATTCGCATTTACTTGTATAGATTGCTGGCTTCAAAACTCAGAGCAGGGGATGCCTTCTACAATTAGATATATTTGAATAATGATTATAGCGAAGAAAATGGCAACTTACCTTGTCAAACCAAGCGACAGTGCATTGCTTGTATTCTATGATGGAAAATGTAGCGAAAAAGAAAATTACTTACCAAAAAAAAAGACACGTATTCTGCATGACATGCTGAAGACGGAATATTTAAATTAAAAAATAAATCTTTTGCGGGAGTCACTATACAAGTATTTTGATATGCAAAAATTGAGCATCCTCTCCCAGCTGTTGATGAATGAAAAAAAATGCTTGGCCAATAAAGGCAGTCAGTGTTCTCGAATCAGGGGGGGGAAAAATTCAGGTATTTTGGCTACTGCATTTGTCAGAGAGTGAGTTATTTTTCTGACTGGTTGCGTGCATTTTGATTTGTTAGATAGTACCTGCAAATCGAGTTTTCAGCATGTCTTTCTGCCCCCGATGTTCGAGTTTGAACTTAGTGATTTATTCTCTGCATTGTGGAAGTAATCTGCAACAAATATTGCCTTTGCAATCCCAGATCGCTT